CGAAAACACACAAATTGACAATGGGCTTAATTGTAAACTGAATGATACCATATTGTAAATTTTCAATTTTAAGACCTATTAGACTGAGCAATTTAATTTAATGGCAAAATCCTCTCTTAATCAGTAGAGAGCTGCACTAGCTATTGTAAATTACATCAAAGCCAATACACAATTATAAAGGTGCTTGACAAATTGGAATTGATTTCTTGACCAATAGTTTGCAGATAATCGACAATGTCATTTAGCAGGTGAAAAACATACATTGGGGTGCTATTCATCACTTCCAATTTAGACAAATCAGTTGTCTTACAACATATGGTTGTGTAGACTGAATAATCAGCAAGCAGATCTTGACTGTCAGCTGTCTATCATAAGCACAGGTGATTGATCAGCTTTGAAAGCGAAACGTGATACAAGATATGTCCACTACTCTTTAATCTAGAAATTGGAAATCATCTGTCTAATTCTTTAATTGTGGGATTTGCATAATATCATGGAATGTGAGAAAGTATGTTTTGATGGACACACAGAGGCAGATTATCAATATACCAAAGTTTCTCTTTATTAAACGCTAGGTCCCGAGAAAATGCCATGTCTCCCAGGTAGATTTGTAAATAAGACCCTCAAGGATTTCGTATTCAAGGTATAATAAACTTAGTAAGCTATAATTACAAGACATTTAGCTCTCAAAATAATAAATGAAAAGTCTAATAAACTCCAGCCTCAAATGTACTGCAAAAGTCAAATAAATGGTAGATCAATGAAGGCAAGTTTGAAATACATGCTCGGGGGCACTTAATTGAGAAAATTTTTAAATGGCACATCCTTTCCTGACTTGCAGTTAATATTGAACTATGTGACAATATTTTGTGCCATTTTTTATGTCATTAAGTTTCTTCTGACAGAATGAACCTCAGAGGTTTTATTAAGGGCCAGCAATAGGAAAATTGACTGGCTGTGAGGGTGATTTTGCCTGCCTGGTTTAATTGACCATGCAGAGAAAAGTTTTTCTTCTAAAGAAATTTAGGTCAAAATTTTTTCCTGCCAGTCTCAAAGCAATACTTTTAAGAGATCATCAATCATAAACTGCAAAAAACATTGTCAACATGAGAGAAGTATCAGATGGATTATGAGATACAAACGAAACTTCAAATATCCTGATGATCTTGAAATAATACTGAGAAGGCTACATTTTTCTTGTTACAATACTCATGACCCAAGGCAAACTTATTTTATGTTATAATTTCATATCTCAGGGCAATGAGGTTTTATTTTTTTTTGGATTTAGACCTTCTGTGCAACCACTCAAATGAAATCTATTGAGCAGTTTTGGGTGTCGCACCATTTAACATGCCGCAAAAAAATTTCATCAATTGTGCCTGTGAAGGAAAAACCCAGTGGGCAGCCATTCCCTTTTGCTGTCTAAGCTGCTTTAAGCTTGTAACATTTGAGCAAAGACAAAAGCCTAAAATGTGGCTGCATTCATATGGGATTCACCATTCAAGTAGAAAGTGGCGTGGACTGAGCAGCACTGGTACTTGATATATATGTAAGCAGTGCTGTTCATTCATAGTTCATTACTTGTCTCCGAGTGGAAATGTTAATAGAAAATGTCCCACATTTGTACTTTGGCACACTTAGCAGGGTACTAGGTTTTACCAGGTTAGTGTAACTACAGCTTAAAAGTGTGTGGTAGAACCTTTTCTACATAATTATACAAATCTGATTGAGCTGGCCAGTGCCAAAATAATCACTGACAAAACTAGTAAACAACAAAAGGCTGTATAATATTATGCAACACTAATGAAATGTGCAAAACCTGTGACAGAACTCATAGGTTTGAGCTTGGAATTGCTGCTTTGTGAATTTAACCTTTTGAATCCAATTTGTTTCTTTGTGCGCAAAGCTTCATTACTTGCCACTGAATGATGTGTGTTGCAGCAATAATATAACAGTGATTGTGGTTATCTACATTTTGGGAAGAAAATGTATTGTAGACTTTCAAATCATTTGCAGTTGTTATTGTAAAACACATAAAGCTCTGCAGCTACCATAATTTTTCCATTAGTGAACAGATAGCACTTCTAGTCAAGGACAATTTTCCTGTTGAGATAAAACTACCTGTTTATTTCAAACAAAATCAGCTGCCTTAACTGGTTAAAGCTGTTATTTTAGTCACAGTTGAAGAGAATACTGTTTGGATTGATCATTAACCTGAAACGACACTGGCTTTTGTCATTTTAATGATGTCTACTTCAATATGACTTAACTGCAGTAAAAAAATTAAGAAATATAACAATGTTAAAAATGGAGATATTTTCAATTTTTTTGGAATTTTAATGGATAATTGTGGACATTTTTTAAGATAGAATTGAGGTTTTCGTTCTAAAATTCATTTTTCATTTTATATTGTAACTTTTAAATAACACATAAGCCTGAGTAACTCCTCACTAGACAAAATTTTTAATGAGTTGAATCTTTAGCATGGTAATACATGGCTCCATGCAACAATAGTTTCTCATGTTTAATTACAGTTTTGTGAATTGTAGGTTTCAAGAAAATGTTCACATTCAAAACAGCACATTTTCTAAATCCATTTACCCAGCCTTCACTTGAGAAAATGCTAATTTCTAAAGCATTGATGTCTTTTGTGATATTGGACTTGATATTAAATGATTTCAACTTTAAACATAGACCAACATAATGCATTGTCTTGTTATGGATGCACCAATTCTCCTCAGTAAATTTTACCTGAAAATGTGTTTACTTAAATATTAAATATGTTTTCTTAACTTGCTCTAATCAAAATGTACCTCATTTCAACAACAAAAATAGTATATATTTTTGCTTCAATGACTGCAGATAATGAACCCATGTCCAGTCCCGTCTAACCAACTGGAGCATACTTAAATTGCATTTCTAGAATCACAAAATTTATCTTTTTGTTTTATTAGCATATCACAAGAAATAAAACTACAGGGTGAACAAACATTTTTTGTTTTGTTTATTTTTTTCTACAAAAAGGTGTTCCTATATAGGAAGTTTTAAACAGGCAACAATGTAAAGACAGCTTTCAAGTTTACTTTTATTATTTGCTTTCTTCTAAAGTTTCTACAGTGACCCAAACGTGTTCAAAGAACTTGTTTGATGAATGTCACTTTTTATGATAATTGTTATCCTTGAATAAATCAGTTGAAAATTACTTATGTGAAGCCGCTTATATCAGACTTGGTAATACATGTTCACCTACATACATGAATGTATGTTATTCTTCATAAAATTAATGTTCTCCTTAAGCAGGGTGAACATTTATGTATGTATCAGTGGAAAAACAGTGTATGGACACTTTGTTAGTTAATGCTAAAAGAAACGCTTTCTTGGAAAAAAAAAAACGTTTTTGCATTGTAACAGCCGGGAAGCCCCTTGTGTTAGGTTCCTATTGGAATATATTTTGTTTTTATAAAGATGAGGTAAGGTTGTAAGGATATAGAAAACACATTCGATTATTTATCCTAAGTATGTGTTTTATTTTCAAGCACAGATTTATACTATTCTGATAATACAATTTTATCTACATTTTTTTCAAACATAACATAATGATTCTGAATTTATGAATCAATTTATTCCTATGTTTAAGAAGGAAACCTTCCCACTGACTAAAACACACTATCATCTAAGAGATTACTTATATTTATATTTTGAAATATTTTGTCATTACCGAGTACTTTATATTACAGACATTTCTAACAGTCTCAGTTATATACTTCCAGTTTTAAAAGGATATTAAATGTTATCCTTTTCCTTTGCTTTGAACTTTGTTCATCTAGCTTGGTTTAAAAGCACTGAGAATGGGTAACAGTAAACAGACAGGGATCTTTTGTAATATTGACTAGGTGACTGGTCAGTGATAAATATTGGCTTATTAAATGATAGGAAAACAGTTCCTTGATTTCATTAGGCATTTTATAAATTCTCTGACTAAATACTTTCACCAAGTTGGTTTTGAATCATGAATCCATGCGGAAGAAACTTCAACTACAAATTCAGTTATAAACTGCATTCTAGACCAGACATGCATATTTGTATGTTTCACAGAACTAGAAAATAATCCTTATATAGTTAAGCCCATAGTTCAGTAAATTAGTCCCAATATTCCCGAATGTATTTTACAGCTCCAATGCTTCATATCTCTACATGTATTTCAATAACCTTTTTAACAGGCCTTTTGCAATGGTCAGTCAACATGACAGATAATTTCTAGACTTTTAGCTACAGCTAAATGAGTTTCAGAACTGGAACTGATTTTCAGACCAATGCCATGAAATGTTGAGATTTAATGACGATTTGAACATTTGCAAAAATTAGGATTTTGTATGGAAGTGAGGAAGCCTTGTCCTCCAGAAACCTTTTTGATTATTAATCACTACAAAAAGAAGCTAAAGAAGATATAGATAGCATCATCTTGTCACCATTATCAAATTTATTTTAATCTGCATTTGACAATGGCGACAAGATGATGCCGACACATCATGTTATAGCGTTTCTTTGTCTTTTAAAAAGAAGCTACTGACATATAACCACCAATAGAGGTAAAATAATTATTAGGAAGAAGGAAAAATTCTAGGCCTTAAAGGGCCTTAGTCAGCCACACCTTTGTTTTTATTTACATGCAAGAGTTTGACTACTATATGTTATGTGGAGCAAGCCAAAACAAAGGAAATCACTGTGAATCTTCAGAAGATAATTAAGCATAGTTACTTACAGTAAAGCAATAAGATTGCGTTTCACCATGTAATGTCAATAATTTGGATGGCATTGAAAATGGCAGAGGCTGAGTAGGGTCCTTTAAACTGAAAGGCAAAGATTATATAATACTACACCTCCCAACTTTTTCAAAATCTAGGACATTAGATTTTTATCAATGAAGGGAGACTGTGCTAGTATTTTTGAAGATTTCCAAATGGGTTTTGAATATTTCCAGTCGGGCAGTGTTTCCCCAAGCATAACACCATCAACAGACATTTCCCTTAAAAATCAGAGTGTTGGGGCAGGTCTGCAATCATTTGCACGGAGATTTCTTTCTCCTGATTAGGTAGAGCTTAGTTAAATTTATACAAAATTTTTGAAAGTGTGTTAGTTAAGACTGTATTAGCTCAATTTTTTTTTTGATGTGAGATTCTGGTTTATAGGCATAAGGTGTGAGTTTGTTCGTTTTCGACCTGCAGAACTGAAGAGAGACTATTGACTGAAGCATGATAGATGGCCTTGCCAACCTGTGTCACATGACACAACATGGCTCCAACCAACATTTTGTTGTTAAAAAGAAATGACTTGGTTAAATGTGCTGTTCTGCCCTTCTTTTTGCAGTACATGTAAGAACAAGACACCCAGTTTACACATGGCTGATGATACAATTGTTATCACTCCAGATCATCTTCATGTTGATCAAGTCACTGACATTGTTGGTGCACCTAGCGCAGGAGCAATCTCATTGTTTGTAGGTAATTAATTCTATTACCTGTAGTTTAACACTGAGAGGTACATAAAAATTATATAGTACCTTATAACCAAGTGCAAAGGCTGTACAGTGAAACCCCACTCTACGGACACTCGCTTAATACGGACACCTGCTTCTAACGGACAGTTTTCTTTGTCCCGACAACTAAAAAGCTCATGTATTTTCTCTTAAATTAGCCTGCTTAATACGGACACCCGGATAATGCGGACACTTTATCATGTCCCTTTGGTGTCTGTATTAATGGGGTTCCACTGTACTAGGGAATATGAGCCCAAGGTCCTGATAGTACAGGCCAAGTGTAGCATGATCACTACAGAAAAAGACCAAGCGACAAATTCTCTCAGTATAGTCATGAGCAAACTTGGTTGACCATGTGATGTTGCCTTTTCTTTCCAACTGTCTTTTTGCTCTTTTTTTGAAGATGTTGTTAATAGAGCAATCTGATTGGTTGAGTTCAGTTATTGGCCCTTTGAACTTACCTAGTCAGACTACTAATCCAGTTCATATCCACTGCTTAAACATTCTTTGCATTCCTTCATAGGAACAACAAGAGATAATTTTGAAGGTAAGAAGTGATGTTCTTGCTAATCAAAGCGACAGGGCTTTAGTAAATAATTTCACCACATTTTTGCACCCATGCCATCATTGTCAGTTCTGCCGCTGCCCCCATCATCACCATCATCACCATCATCATTGTCAGAGGGTCATAGAAATTATTAGACATTAAGTATTTCCTGATCAATGTTTATTTCTTAATTTTTGAGTTAAGTGTTAAATGCTGTATTATTGGCCAGTGTGATCTAGACCACCACTGATTAGAAGCCCTTGGTTGGCAGTGAAGATAGCTAAGCCACTGAATCTTACTGTTGCTTACTGTAATTGTTTTAATTTTGTGGTGAAATGATTTTATTTGAATTCATTATAATTTATTTTTAGGAAAAACAGTAGTCCGTCTAGAATATGAGGCATACATGCCAATGGCCAGATCAGAGATGCGCAAGATTTGTAAACAAGTGCGAGAAAAGTGGGACGTAATAAAAATAGCCATCTTTCATAGAATTGGGTGAGTTTAACCTTTGGACACATCTAAAAGCCCCACAATTAATGTTTGCTTATTAAACAACTGGCCCTTTCCTCCACCTGATGGAAGGGAAGTAACAAAACTATCAAACAAATGGCAACATACTCAGTAACTATCATTTCATTCACCACACTAGGGTATCATGCACATACCAACGTTGAAACCACTTTGTACATAGCCTGCGTAGCAAGCGTACCCATACAAAGAGCTTTTCCACATTCTGGATGCGGATAAATTGGAGTGAGAGCAAAAACTCGCTTCGTCAAATTTTTGCTCTCGTTCCAATTTATGCGTGGTCAGAATGCAGAAAAGCTCTTTGTACAGGAACACTTGCTACACAGGCTACTTTGTACAGAATTATAAACTGGTCGCACACCTGCTCAATGGCTTTCATTTGAATGGCCCAAAAGTCAGGTTTTATCTGAAGGTTGCTCAACAAAGGTTTTACGGTGTGTTCACACTCATCTGTTGACTTGGAAATAATTAACATGGAAGCTGTAATAAAACTAATGTTACTCTTTTTGCAGAGTGGTCCCCATTGGTGAAGCAAGTGTGATTATTGCAGTGTCGTCTGCCCACAGAAAGAATTCGCTGGAAGCTGTACAGTACTGTATAGACACTTTAAAGGCAACAGTCCCGATATGGAAGAAGGTATAAATATTAAGTTTTCTGATGTCATTTTAATCAGTTTGATATGGGAGCTAGTTATTTTGCCAATCACCAGCCAGGATAATTTACAAATTTCTTTTGTCAATTTTCTGTTCTGTACAGGAAGTTTATGAACAAGGGGAGCCCAACTGGAAAGAGAATTCAGAATGCTTCTGGACGAAAAGAGGTGGATCACCGAAACAGTCCACTGTTTAGAATAAACCTTTTCACTGTATATAGAACTTGAACTTTAATCTAAGGATTAGTGAATGTGCTTTGCTTTAATCATGTTGTGATTCTAGAGATTTTTAAATATTGTTGTTTCACTAGTTAAGGAACATAAAAAAGTGTAAATGTTTTTTCATGTGTCCCTGGAGCCTGAGTCGTAAAGAGTGAAGTCATGTGATTTGCAAGATAGGCAGTTGTCTTCATTAGTTTTGTCTACCAACCCCACACTTAGATTTCCGTCCTTACACAGGTACAAAATAGCTTTCAAACAGGTCATTTGTTACAGGTGCCCTGGAGTAACCTTGTATTTTATAAGAATTTTTTTTTT